ATCTCCTGGAAGATTATCTGGAAAAACATCTGTGAATTCTCTGACTATAGGAATACAGTTCACATTAGCATTATCATCAGTAGACACAGTCAATACAGAACACAGATATCCCTTACAGCCCTTTCTAATCAATTTTACAGCTTTCACAGATGAAATCAGATACGGGGGAGGTACTACTCCAACCCCATTAAACACAAATTCAAGTAGACCAGGTGGATGGAAAACTACTTGTTTCGTTACACAGTCTATGGTGGCATGATATTTCGTTAACCAGTCCATCCCCAATATTACATCAAAATGATCAATGTTCAATGGCAGTGAATCGATAAACAGATGTGCATCTCCAACAATGATTTCACAAGTAGGGTACATGTATGCACAGGTCATAGATCCCCCAACGGGTAATGATACAGCTAACAGATAATTCATAGGTTTTAAGGGTCTATTCAATTTACGCGAAAAAGCATGCGACACATAAGAATGCGTAGACCCCGAATCAATCAGTACATAAGCATTCTGGGTACAAATAGAGAGAATACCTGACACAACGGTCTCGGTATTCTGGACGTCTCCCGGTACTAGGGCGAACACTCGGTCCTGCCTCATAGGCTCTTTTCCGGTAGCTTTGGGATTCGGTTTTGGTGTAACAGTTGATGTCGCTACGCTTGGTGTAGCTTTACTACTAGCTTGTGGAGCAGAGGGACAGTCTTTAACCATGTGGCCCACTTTGCCACACCTATAACAGGCTCCTGATATCTTGTAACAAACTCCCTTGTGATTTTTACCACACTCAGAACAGGGCGGTACGGTTCCCTTGACTAGACGTAGTCGTTGACCTCGTATTCTGTTTCTTGTTCAATGGACTATGCTTGCCTTTCTTAAACTTGAAACTCTGCCTTTTACCCCGCCATTCAGACAATGGTGTTTCAGTCTTCAGTGCTTCAATGTTCGATTCAGCCATCAAGGCTCGGTCAAGGACATTCACATAGTTCGGTAGTTTTAGAACATTTATTCGGTCAAGAATTGCAACATTAAGGCCGCCTTCAAATTTTCTGGCCTTCTTATACTCAGTATCCACCATATGCGATGCATATCTGGCAAGCTCGGTGAATTTCGTCTCATATTCAGCCACAGACATTGCTCCTTGTCTCAGCTGTTCAAACTCAGTTACTTTCCTGTCCCTAACACACTGAGGGAAGTATTTTTCAAAGAAGGCTCCCTTGAATTGAGCCCAAGTCAGAACGGTATTTTCATCACGGATGAGCATCCACCATCTTCTAGCTTCTTCTTGCAATGTGAAGGTGGCCAACAGTACCTTATGTGCTTCAGAGCACGGAAAAACCTCAAATAATTTTTCGGTTTCTAGAACCCAAGCTTCAGCTTTTAACGGTTCAAGGCCTCCCTGAAAGGATGGCGGTTTCATTTTGCTGAACTTCTGGGTCAGAGCAATTATATCCCCATCATTAGCATTCACATTCACATTTTGTTCCGGTACAACTGGAGGAGGGGGTGGGGGCTGTTGATTCAGTTGTTGGTCCAGTCTTGCAGTTATCAGTTCCATCATGTGTTCCAGTCTGGCCATTCTGGCCTCAGAGGATGAGGTTTCAGTTTCGTTTGCAGTGTTTGCATTATCCATTTCACTAAAAGCAGTTATAACAGTTTTAAACATAAGTAGTCATTTGTTTAACAGTTTACCACATTAGCATATATTCAGTCAGTCATATCACACACTTATCATGCTCATGAGATGCCCTAATTACTTTTCTAGGACACCCTATAGCTCATTTGGACACGTGTGTGCGGTATGACTCGTGGTTAAGTATCGCTCTGATACCACTCTGTCACGACCCAAACCCGGCCCTATGGGTTTAGCACCGTAACTGGCCAGTAATCCGAGATTATCGAAGGCCTGCAGAGCAGTAATCTAGTAAAACAGAATATAGGGCCTGGCGAAAGCCAATACAGTAAATAAACAATACCCAATGAGCTGTGACAGTCTGTATGCAAAAGGCTTTTCAAACATGTTTACATTCAGTGAAAAGGTATATACCATATATACAATCATTCAGAGTAGGGACTCAATCCCTATGTAACAGTACAGTAAACATTCAGTCTATACAATGCATTCAGTTATTACAAACAGCAAGACAGTACAGAAGGGGGAGTCCTAAAACACCCCAAAACCTTAGCATGATAGGCTTGGAACCTCGCAGTGAGGCACGGTAGTTGGCTTGACAAAACTGGAGTAACCCTGACGCTCCTAGCTCCGATCTGGTGCCTGTACACCTACATATATATATGAGCAGTGAGCTAAAACCCAATGAATAACATAAAGCGTAAAGGAGTTTAGAATGAATGTCCTTACAGTAATGAAAACAGTTCAATTTCAAAATCAGTATTTCAGTTGCTCAGTACAGTAAACAATCATATGTGGTACATCCATTAGCATATTAGTAACAAGTAGGTCTTAAAAGACCGAACAGTAATGATGGCCATCAATCAGTAAATAGTAGTGGTTCCACGAGGGAACCGACAGAGATCTCTGTAACAGTGACAGTAAACAGTAGGTGCTAAGGATGCCACAGTACAGTTCAGAAATAAAGGACATACATTCATTCAGTAATACCAGTTCAGTTCAGTATTCAAGAATGATCAGCTGAACATATCTTTACACAATTGTTACTCACAGAGTTCGGGCTACGGTATGCTAGAGCGTGTCTCCCCAGTCGCCAACCCTACACAGTTCACAGGTTGAACACACACTAAGCTATACAGTTGGGAAATATCATAATTTAATCCCTAATTGCCTCGGTGTGTTCTACATCTATATCCTCACAAGATGTCTTAAACTAGGTCTAAGAATGCCTAGAATGAGATGAGGATGCAAAGATGCACTTTTAAAAAGCAGTTTCAGATTTTTTCAGAAAACAGAGTCCCGTTCGAGCGTAGGTAACCGCTCGCAGCGAGCGACACATGCGACAAAGGCACCCGCCTCGAGCGTAGAATTACCCGCTCGAGCGTTCTGCAAAACAGTCAAAAGTGCTGGATGGGTGAAATCTCCGCTCGACGGACGCTCGACGCCCGCTCGAGCTTGAGACACGTGATTCCGCTCGCGCCCAAGCCTCCGCTCGAGCGCCCAAGCCTCCGCTCGAGCGGACTGTAAAACAGTGCAGAGAGATGCTGGATGCTCGATTCCACGCTCGAGCGTCTCTATCTCCGCTCGAGCGGGAGTGTGAAATCTGGAAATCCCAGATTGCACCTCCAGCTCAAACTCAAGTTCAAAAGCATCAAAACCGATCCTCTTGGGCTAATTTCTGGAAAAACACTTGTAAACACATAGATAACATGGTTCAAAGCTCGATTTGAGAAACCAAAGCCCAAGGGTGTTTAATTCAAACCCAATTTCAAACCAATCGAGAATACGATGAACATGCAAACATGCAATGAATTCAAATCATTTCAAAGCTTCAAAACATGCTCTAGTGAGCAATTTATCCAAAAACAATGAAAACATGGACCAATACAAAGTTATGGACATGCATGCACCTTTTTACCATGAAACCAACTTTCAACTTAACAATTCAAACATGCAAGCATGAATTATGCTCTATATCAACATGCATGAACTAAAACATGACTTAGCTCTTCAATTTAACATGGACCATCCAAGAATTAGTTCAAACACAAGAATGAGAAGATGAAATCCTTACCTAGGTTCCTTGAATGCAAGTCTAGAGGTTCAATTATGCACTTAAGCTTTCAATTCCTCAATTCCAAGCATATTCTAAAGATGAATCAAGTTGGATCACTCTTTTCCTCTTACTCTCTCTCTCTAGTCGGCAATGAGAAGGGAAATGGCTGAGGAGATGGTTTTTGATTCAAGTGTAATGAGTTCAAAGGTGTATGAGGTAGTGGGCACTTAAGGCTAGTTTGGTAAATAAGGCCAACTTAAGCAATTGATCAAGATTTAATCTAATTTAATCACACCTAATCAGTTTTCAGATAAATATACCATAAAATCACATTAATTATGATGATCATAAAACATCAATCAGTTCTGGCTTCGGCCGCCGATAAGGCCTTCAATTAGCAGTTTAAACAGAACACGTGAACAGATCAAAGAAACAATCAAACAGATAGAATACCAATTAACACACATACTCAGTCAATTCAGTTCCAGTTTTCAGTCAGTCGGTTCAGTACTTTAACCAGTCCAATTATCAGTCATAATTAGTTCAGTTTAACGGTAATCACTGTTTATCAGTACTCAATCAGTCAGTAATCGGTAAACAGTATGAGGGTTGTTACATCACCCTCCCATATATAGTTTTATTATTTGTTGGTGATATCACATTATAGTGTATCAAAAATAATATGATATTACCGTTATATTAAATTTTTACTCTTAACTCTCATAATTCACTGTTTTGAGTGTGATCCACATTATATCAATTTTAAACCTACATTATACATTTCATCGTTATATTAAATTTTACTCTTAAATTACTAATATATTTTCTGTGCATTTTTGTAATTGCAGTCCACATTATACCAATTTTAAACCTAAATCATAAATTTCACTTTGTAAATTGGTTAGATATGTTACTCTGTTGTCATGCACTCTCTCCTCCCCAAAATGGGATAAAATGTTGGGAGACAGATGACCTACAATATGGACCATTGTACAGCCTAGAGGTACCCCTTCTTTCTAGCACAAAAAAATACATAGCTCAGTTAATTAAATGGTCAATCACTTAAGCATACCCAATTATATCTATATTTGATAATCCACTAAAGACCATGCAAATTAAACAACACCAATCAAATAATGTGCGTTTACTTTTGCGTGTAAAGCCAATGATGGGGAGTTGTTCAATTTTCTCCCCCACCCAAAAATGTGGTTGAGCTGCAAACTCCCATCTCCTCCTCTAATAACACTATTTTGCCCACACGTTTTTAATAGGGATTTTCCATTTTTTTTCCCTTTCCATTCTTTGTATATCAGTAGTAGTAGTAGTTATAACTTATACCTACTGACATTTGAATTTTGTTCCCTCAAAAACAAGGGCTAGAAGCTACACCACCTTTCTTAAAACTTCTTTGGTTTTCTTTTTTTTTTGTTTTTTATCTCTTCCGCAAACAAATGACATTTTAGGGATGAAATCAATGGCTTCAACCAAGAATGTGACTCTGTACTGTCCTGAGGATTTGTGCAAGGCAGAGAAGAGAAGTGTTGGGATGGCAATGCAGGTTTTGAAGGTGGGTTTTTGTGGGTTGAGAAATCATGGAATGTTGAGACAAAGCATAGCAATGAAAGCGAATACCGGAGGGTACGAAAGTGTAGACTTGATCAATGGAAGGAAGGTGAATGGGATAAAAATTGGTGGTGATGGTGGTGGGGTTGCACATTTGGGGAGAAAAAGCAGTGAGGTGTTGAAAGAACCGAGCAGCTGGGTTAATGAGCCAGCGCATGCTTGGCTGCAAGGGAGGTTTGTGGACAACCGGTTTGTTTATAGGCAGACCTTTGTTATTAGGTCTTATGAAATTGGACCAGACAAGACTGCCACCATGGAAACAATGATGAATCTCCTCCAGGTTGCTTGTCTAATATTTTCTTTATTTTACATTAAAATTTCGACAAATTTAAGGTAAGATGAAATGGGTGTGTGCTGTGTGCAGGAGACGGCTTTGAATCATGTGACGGGCTCTGGTCTTGCTGGGAATGGCTTTGGTGCAACCCGGGAGATGAGCCTCAGGAAACTCATTTGGGTTGTCACTCGCATTCAAGTTCAAGTAGAGAAATATAGCTCCTGGTAAATAAATGAATTCCCCACTCTACATTTTCCATCCACCTTTCACCTTTCACAACTCCGCAGTTTTACGTGCACGAAAATCAATGACGGAAATTATTTAATAATTCAGAATATTATATGGCCATATTCTAAACTAATCATCAATTATTTAACCCTATGTTGTTCCCCCATTTTCAACATAAATTGTGGGTCCCTACCCCTCTCTATCGATCAAAACCTTATAGAACATCTCGTGTTCATATTCTGGAAATATTGAATAATTACTGTCACATAGGTATGGCCCCTCCCCATCATGGAGAAGTTATCTAATAATAGATCTAACCTATCACTTATATGTTTGCTCACCCAATTGGGGTGTTTTGGAAAGTTGGTTAAAAATTGATTTTTTTACTTTTTTGTCTTTTTGTGAGTAAAAAATGTGAGAGGTAATATGACCTAAGCTGACTTTTAACTAGCTTCCCAAATGAGCTCTTTGTCTTAAAAAAAGGAAAAAAATGAGAGAAAATAGCTGTGTCTTTCTATATTTAAACGATGCATCGCATGAGATATAGGCCAAACTTACTAGATAATTTATTTTGAGTCTCATCCTTACGAATGTTCTGTGACCAAATTCTATAACAACAATGTTAGGTACCACGACAAAGTACCCAAAAAACAAAATGAGTCAATTACTTTTATTTAAGGGGTGTCCAACACAACATTTAACTAAATTGCATCATACGCCACATTTTCAGGGTAAGTCTCATGGTATATCATTTTCTGTCTCAATAGCTTTTTCCATTAAGGAAAAGTATATTTTTTGTTTAAAATCAACAATATATTAAAACTTGATTAATTGAAAGTTATGCATTTAGAAGCAAACGTAAACGAGCTAATAAAAAAAACTACACACCCACAAAAGATAACTCGAAAAGCATCCAAAGTTAACTATATGGTATGTCTTCAAATATAATGTTATATGAGCACCGTCCAAAATAAATTTAGTCCCGCAAAGAATTTTTTAAAGTGCAGAGTATTGTGCACATTTTGTAGAATCACTTGGGCTAATGAACTGAACTAGACTATGGATCAAACTTGAAAACAAGAAGTTGTTTTTGTTTCTGGTCTCAAGTTCTCAACAGGGGACTGATATTTATTTGATGAAATGTGGCAGGGGAGATGTGGTTGAGATCGACACCTGGGTTGACGCAGCAGGAAAAAATGGAATGCGCAGAGATTGGATAATTCGAGACTACAATACCCAAAGGATCATAACAAGAGCTACAAGGTGTTCATCTCCAACTACAAGTTAGATGAGTGTGTATACAAGTTCTATAGTGCCAATAAATAAACTAACCCTATACTGTTTGTATATTGGTGCAGCACTTGGGTGATCATGAACAGAGAAACAAGAAGGTTGTCTAAGATCCCTGATGAAGTGAAAAAAGAGGTTCAGCCCTTCTACCTCCACAGAGTTTCAATCCCTATAGCTGATACTGACAGCGAAAAAATTGAGAAACTCACCGATGAAACCACTCATAGAATTAGATCTGGTTTAGCTGTAAGTATATATCATAATAACTTGAGTCCATGTTTGGTTGCCGGATAGGATGAGAAGGGAAACATCAATTCTTTGGGATAAGAGGCGGGATTATGTATATCACATTATCGTATACCATCCCATCCCATGCTTCGTGGCGACATTATTATATGACTGTTAATTTTGTCTATAAATTTTGTCCTATCCCACAGTACGGGATTATTTGTCCTCATTCTTTTGTCTATTTGTCCTAATGCACTCTCAACTATTCAATTATGCTTCAAATGCCTCAAAATTTATATGCCTTATAATCTAAAGGTTAAGGGTGCATTTGGACAAAAGGACAAGGGATTTAGAGACAGAGGATCCTCGGCCCTTTCTTATTCCACCCGTTTCTCAGTAATTGAGTTATCCTCCATTTATGGGAACCAGTGTCCTAAGCGGCCACACTATCCCATCATGAGATAAATGAGTTACACCGATAACTAATTAATTCCCCATCCTTCATCTGACAACCAAACATGTCCCCAGTTTATCAACGCTTCATGTTTCATTTGCTCATATATCTGTCTTTTGTTTTTTAACTGTTTCTTTGTACAAAATCCAGCCAAGATGGAGCGATATGGACGCCAACCAGCATGTAAACAATGTAAAATACATTGGATGGCTTTTGGAGGTACAATTGCTAATGATTTAACGACAATGGAAGTGTCAATTTGTGAAATTGTTATGGTTTGTAACCTTGTGTTTTTGCAGAGTGTACCCATAGATGTCTTAGAAGATTACAATTTGACAAGCATGACTTTGGAGTATCGACGTGAATGTAGACAGTCCACAGTCCTGGAGTCCTTGACAACCATGAAACCAAAAATTGCTGAGTCAAAGAACTGCGCGATTGATAGCAACAGAGATGAATTGGAAAGCACGCATTTGCTTCGCATGCAAGCTGACAAGGCGGAGATAGTCCGAGCAAGGTCAGTATGGCAATCCAAACAGAAATTCGTCAGCACGATGTGATCTCCAACATGTCCACCTACAATCCACTTGTGTCTTTAATTTTGTGTTTTGTTTTATTCTTATTGTTTTGGTGTATAGTATTTTCTTTCTTGTATGATTCTGTGATTGAGTTGAAGTCTTCAGGCTGTGGTACATTTCAAAAGTGCAGTTGTTTTTTGACTGCACATTCTTTAGAGGTTTTGAACTTCTTTCTAGGGATGGAAAATTTGCAAGAAAATGTTAGTCCTTATATACTATTTTGAATTTATGTGTGAATAAGGAAGAAAGCACCATCCTATTCATCAATCCTTTAATCTGTTTATGGTCTTATAATTGCCCATCATGAGATGTTGATAATATTGGCCCACATTAAATATACGTCAGATGATATAAAAAAAAAAATTCTAGTAAAACATACTTGTGTGTGTGTGCTTTTTTCTTTTTTTCTTTTTATTTTACCAGCTTGTAACAAAAAATTTCAAGAGAGGGGAAAAAAAAAAAAAAAAAAAATTCCAGCACTCAACTTGTCTGTATGGGGTAGGCTGTAGAGGGCTTCAAATTTTGAGAGTGGTTAATTTAAAAATCAATCCTGCTGCATACCTCTAATTAGAGGTCATGCCGTACAGCTCTAATGAGCTGTCCGGGAATAAATAAAAAAAAAACATAGTGAAGTAAAAGACAAAAATAGGAGAAGAAAAAGACAAATTAAAAGTGCATTAGAGGTGTTTTTTTAGAGGTCCAAATCATTTTTCTTTAAAAATTACTGGTAAGGAATAAATAATAATAAACAATGTCATATCCTTCCTTTTAGACAATCAAAGTTGAACAAATAAATACTTAATAAAAAATGTTTCATAAAAATGATCATGAATAAATTTTCATTTTATATTACACTTTATAACTTATTATATATCTAATTTAAGGATAAAAATTTTTCATAATCATTTTCATAAAATATTTTTCATGATACCTACCATCTCGAGAGCAAGTGGAAGAAAGACTCGCTATCTGGACTTTTGTAGGGAATGGGAGTTGCTGACCTAAAAGCTGGACGTGAGTGCCCCTTTATTTACTCACTGATCATGACTACCAAAAGTCACCTAAAAGTATTATTTTTAACATAGCAAAATAAAAAATAAAAATAAACTCGTAAATCTGTCCACGGATATTATCGTTAAATTGTTTTTAAATTGTTCAGAAGACTCTTTTTAAGATTAAAAAAAAAAAAACATTCTTTCTAAGTCCACCCTTCCCTAAATTCTTTTTACCATAAAAGGAATTCCTATTCAATTCTTTATAGGTAGTTCAGCAAACTATCTACATCTGCAACCTGGGAGGATGCTACGTCTCTAAGGCACAACACGGAGCCTCCGGGCGTATTTTTCGAATTTATTCTAATAATTCGAATTATTATTTTGTACAATTGATTAAGATAACAAAAAATTTCAAAAGAGGGGAAAAAAAAAAAAAAAAAAAATTCCAGCACTCAACTTGTCTGTATGGGGTAGGCTGTAGAGGGCTTCAAATTTTGAGAGTGGTTAATTTAAAAATCAATCCTGCTGCATACCTCTAATTAGAGGTCATGCCGTACAGCTCTAATGAGCTGTCCGGGAATAAAAAAAAAAAAAAAATAGTGAAGTAAAAGACAAAAATAGGAGAAGAAAAAGACAAATTAAAAGTGCATTAGAGGTGTTTTTTTAGAGGTCCAAATCATTTTTCTTTAAAAATTACTGATAAGGAATAAATAATAATAAACAATGTCATATCCTTCCTTTTAGACAATCAAAGTTGAACAAATAAATACTTAATGGAAAATGTTTCATAAAAATGATCATGAACAAATTTTCATTTTATATTACACTTTATACCTTATTATATATCTAATTTAAGGGTCAAAAATCTTTCATAATTATTTTCATAAAATATTTTTCATGATACCTACCATCTCGAGAGCAGGTGGAAGAAAGACTCGCTATCTGGACTTTTGTAGGGAATGGGAGTTGCTTACCTAAAAGCTGGACGTGAGTGCCCCCTTTATTTACTCACTGATCATGACTACCAAAAGTCACCTAAAAGTATTATTTTTAACATAGCAAAATAAAAAATAAAAATAAACTCGTAAAATCTGTCCACGGATATTATCGTTAAATTGTTTTTAAATTGTTCAGAAGACTCTTTTTAAGATTAAAAAAAAAAAAACATTCTTTCTAAGTCCACCCTTCCCTAAATTCTTTTTACCATAAAAGGAATTCCTATTCAATTCTTTATAGGTAGTTCAGCAAACTATCTACATCTGCAACCTGGGAGGATGCTACGTTCCTATTCAATTCTTTATAGGTAGTTCAGCAAACTATCTACATCTGCAACCTGGGAGGATGCTACGTCTCTAAGGCACAACACGGAGCCTGCGGGCGTATTTTTCGAATTTATTCTAATAATTCGAATTATTATTTTATACAATTGATTAAGTAGATCATTCATGAAAAAAATCAAATTAATTAAATATTTATAATTTATAATAATATTACATGGGTAAATTAAACTAAAGGTTCCTATAGTTTGAGACTTATGTCACTTTGGTTCATGACTTTTCAAGTGTGACATATTTGATCATGAATTTTGAATATTATTCAAAATAAGGACAATTGAAATAACATTACTTAATTTTAAAGGCAAAGTCATTAATTTGACAAAATATAAACTAATTTGACAAAAAATAAATGCCAAAAAATATTTTTAAATTTTTAAAAATTATTTTTACCCACCAAAAATAAAATTATGTAAAATTGATAAATTTTTTACACATTTATTTATTTATTTTACCAAATTAATTTTATTATGTATTTGGATAATAATCATGTAATGGGTGGTTGTTTTTACTTTCATTAAATTAATTTCTATTTTTCCAAAAGAGACAACTTTGATATCATTATTAAACCAATCCATTAAATCAAAAAAATCTAAAACTAAAAACATTACATATATTAAATATATTGATTACACATTAAAAGCTTAACAACCATCTATTACATGATCATCATCCAAACACATAATAAAAATTAATTTGATAAAAAAAATAAATGTGTAAAAGATTTATCAATTTTACATAATTTTATCTTTGGCAGGTAGAAATAATTTTTAAAAATTCAAAAATATTTTTTTGACATTTATTTTTGTCAAATTAATTTATATTTTATCAAATTGACGACTTTGCCCTTAAAATTGAGAAATGATATTTTCAATTGTCCTTATTTGAAGCAAGATTCACAATTCAGGGTCAAATGTGTCACAATTGAAAAGTTAGGGATTAAAATAACACGAGCCCCAAATTATAGGGATTGTTAGTGTAATTCGCCCAAATTATATTTATGTTTTAAAAAAAATAAACGGTTAATACAATTTTGATAATTTTTTTAAAATAATTATGGTACGATCATGAGATTACGCATATTCGATTAATCTCATTTTTTATATGAATGACATACTTAATAAATACTATAATATGAACGATTTAAATCATTAAAATAAAAGCGATACTGTTGGCTTTTTGGCTTTCGAAGGTTACTTTTGTAATTGTGAGCGTGCCAGTAAGGATCAATCAGTCTTTACAAAATATTAATTGCCAACCAATTATCAGACGATTGTGTTTTAGTTCTTTCAGTCTCAATGAAGATGACTTTTACTGGTGGCTTTGTTTTAGGAAAATTAAGTAAACAATGATTAAATGAAAAACAATTATAGCATTTCATTAAGCAAAATGAAAGACTTACAAAGATCCAAATCAGCCTGTAGAGGTTTACAACAACAAACTACTTGAAACTACTCCTATGAACGAAATGCAGTGCAGGAACTTGAAGTACAGAAATGTAAAGAACAAGAAATGTAAAAACTGGAAAGGAAATAAAGTAGATAAAACTGGTTTTTTGGATCTGAGTCTGGGGGCACTTTCTGGGGCCTTCTCTGCTATTTATACTTCTCAATGACAGCCGTCGAACTGCATTTCTAACCGTCGAACCACCTTTCCATGATCGCTGATCATGTTGCTTTATAGTTAGCTCCACTATGCCATATCTGCAGTTAGGTTTCCCTCATGATTTTAAATTTAAATATGAGTAACTGTTGAAGCCACGTTATCTTGCATCTCTTTGCTGATCCAGTGCCATGTAGATCTACAAAAAACCAATACTAACTACCACGTGTGTGATTATGATTGAGGACTTGAATTGTTTTCCCGTATTGCCCTTGTCCGGCCACGTGTCGAACTGTAATTGGCTTATATAAAATATGTAACAACCCTCACTTCAACTTAGTCATACTTACATACATTCATGTATGATCTTGTCTTGTTATGTTACATTTGCAAATCTTGTCTTGTTTTGCTTGAGTGTTGCCTGCATGCTTTGTTCTTGCCTGGTGTGTTGCCAAGGTCACCTTAACCCTAGTCACCTTTGAACCATTTTACACTTAGAACTATCTTGGAACCATTTTTGTTGACCTCCACCATCACCTAGGCATATTGGCCGAGATGTCATCATCTAGGCCGAGGTGTGTGTCACCTAGGTCGAGACGTGCATCATCTAGGCCAAGATGTTATCATCTAGGCGTCCTAGATCCTTGATCCTTGCACTTAGTGATTTTGTTCCTGGAATGGTATGACCTAGACCGAGGTGTGGCACATCTAGGCCAAGGTGTGGCACAACTTAGTCAAATGTTATCCTTCCAAGCTAATGTCGTTGTCACCCTACTTGCCGAAGCTTTGCCCTTAGCCGAGATCATCACTTGCCGGAGTGCTCTTGCCATCTAGCTTGTTGAATACACTTTGTCATGGTCTTGTGTTGTCAGTCAGTCACCTTTTTTAGTAGAGCCAATCAGCCGATGCCACGTGTCCCAGCAGAGGCTTAAGTCAGTGACGTGACTGTCGAGAAAAACATATCATTTTGTATCAAATCTTGTCTTTTAGAGAGAGAGAGACTCTAGGAAGAAGAAGGAGAAGCTTTTGAGCGAGAGAGTGGGTTTCCAAGCTTGATCCCTAGAGATCGAACCGTTAGATCCGTGTTTTAAGGTTAGATTCATGATCTACTCTTGTTACCCTTTATGTTGATTTAATCGCATTGCATGATCTAGCATGTTTCATGAACCATGCATTGCTTTGAAGTTCGGTTTTAGAAAGAGAAAGTGATATTCATGTGTTCTTGAAGAAAACCATATTTTGATCCGAAAGTTTGTATCAAGATGCATGTTTTCGTGTTTGTTTTCATATGATCTTCAAGTATGGGTACCAAGGTCCATGTTTTCGAACTCATAGCACGAAATCTAAGACTTTGTAATAATAAGTTATGATTTAAGC